CAACTAACAGTTAGACCAGTGGAACCGTAAGAATGTACAGGGACCATATTTGAGTATGTTCCAACAAATAAAAAGAAGAAAGTCTCAACTTTGATGTGAAGAATCTCACTTCTGTTAAGGCCTTCTAGAGTGTAATATAAGACTAATTGTCTATGTAAATAATGTCTACTAGTACGTACATTTTTCTCATTTGATATTTTTTTCTGTCTAATGATACGTTTCAAGTATAGATTTATAACTCCTGAAAATCAGTTTCCTTCAAATACAACACTTGTTGTTTCCTCCAATCTGCTGTCAATCAACAGTGAATAAAATCTTCTTCACATTGCACCACTAGCCAGTTTTCTTCTTATCTATTCATATTTGTTTGTTTTGTTTCTCCTGAAATAATGACATTCAGTGATGAAGTGCTTGAGGGATAAATTTGAACATTGTATGTTTCTCTGCTCAGACTCATCCAATACCGGTGTCAACACCCGGCATATATAACATACATCTAATTCCCTACAATACAATACGGTCGGTGACTGGCTGGGTATGAAACTCAGCCATTTAGGTCCTGACTGCATTCCTGACTGCATGTTACTGCACTTAAGCGCATATTATCAAGTCAACATCCAATTGTCTGTATTCCTTTTGGATTCAGTAATATTATATAACAATCTAAGTATCTAACTGCATTTCTGTTAGGCACGTTTATTTATGCTATAACCTAATTATTTTTAGGTATGTCGCATAAATAAAACATTGCTCATGAGTAGTTATGTGATGTAATACTGTGTTTATGCCCCTGGAGGCAAGTAATTGCAAAAATGGTACTTTAGTGCATAAAGGTTGAATTGTCACACATCAATCTCAACCACTTGGTGGGGACAAAGAGCATTTACTCCAAATCGCTTGTTAATGAGATTCATTATCCAGCATCTTACAGTTCAGGAGTTTTTACTGAACTTTTACACAGACTGTAGATGTTTTTTAAAGTAGTGTTGAAAACACCAATAACTGGTATAAATGAGAGTCGGAACAGTTTGGACATGGCTAAAATAGAGATAGCTTGATGATTGATTAAAAACATCTCCATGACAATAGGTCTTGCAGCATTCCCTAAGCAAATAGTCCTTCCAATGAGAAATTTGACAATTTAATTATGTTGCAAAGTTGGAAATGTTTATCAGACCTCTGAAGATCTATAGTTAAGTAATTGACTCACTACTTTGATAATTAGATAGAGCATAAAGTGTATCAGAGCTTTATTTGTGAAGGATTCAGTTGTTACAGAATTATCATATGATGACCCATAAACACTGATCAGGTGAACATTACCATGGATTAATATGTGGAACAGAAAAATGATGCTCTCTTGATTAGAGAAATATTTTAATGTGTTTTATTTCACCAAAATGTACTCTTTTTGTGGACACTTGATACAGTGAAAACACTGAATATCGTATACAGTACAACGGAGCCTTGAATTCGTTAATTCTATCTGTTGTTTCTGGACCATCTTTTCATTAGTTTCCATTGTTTGTAGGTAATGAAGATAAACCAAAAACTGAAGAAAGGGTAGGGTAAGGCAAGAAATCCCACTTATTAAACCATTTCAGGTGACTACCTCTTGAAAACATCAAGAGAATCCAGAGTGTGTGCAAAGCAGTAATCAGAACAAAAGGTGGCTCATGTGTTAATTAATAGTTGTGATGCCTTCAGTGTGAATTTAAAATTTTCCTAGTCATTAAAATAAAAAAAACTCTAGGAATGATGTATACATATGTTCAAGTATTACTTTATTTATCTGCCTGTCATGTTCGGGGTTGTTCTGGTGTTTTCCCCTTTTTCTGTTTCCCTGCAGCAGTGTGTGACAGGGGGCGTGGCTGACTTCAGCTGGTGCTGCAGTCTGGACACCTGAACCGGATTGCGCAATCAAGACTGCAGTCTGAACACCTGAACCAGATTGCGCAATCAAGGTTGCAGTCTTAAGCCCGCTTGTCTCAGCACCACGCTGCCAGATAATTTTCTATGTTGGGTCCTCAGGGTTCCAAGCTCCAAGCTCCAAGCTCCAAGCTCCAAGCTCCAAGCTCCAAGCTCCAAGCTCCAAGCTCCAAGCTCCAAGCTCCAAGCTCCAAGCCGGCCAGTTTTCCTGTCTCGTCTGCCTAAGTGATTAAACCTTTGTTCGAACCTGCCACTTTGCCTCCGTCTCTGCGCTGGGGTCCACTAGCAAACCGTAACACTGCCGTTTTCATACAAATTGCCGATGCATACATCAGATGTGTTTTACGCACAAATACAGTCCTCTCTTTACTTATTTTGACATGTTAAATGCAATACTTGGTGGTTCACATGCTTAACTACCAGCTATAGTGTGTTATGTACTTCCTCATTATTATTATGAGAAAGTATTATCTGCTAGCAACTGTTGCTAACTGACGGTT